CCTGCTGCCGTGCTTGTGCGAGGGGCTGCAGACGGAGGAATCACCCCCACGTGTCCGGGAGCTGGGGACTTGCAATGAGGGGCACCTGTGTCCTGGCCTGGTAAGCTGGAACCAGCACAGGCTTTAAAAATCCTCCCTGTAGCTGTGTGCTTTCTGGTTTTCCTTTCCCCTCGCTGCTGGTTGGAGATGCTCTAGGAGGGTGGCCATGGTCATGTGGGGCAGGGGCCCAGTGCGGGGGGTGTGGGGACCACAGTGATGTGGGGTGGCTGGAGATGGGTCAGGGAGGAGAGAAAGGGTGTCTGGCAGCAATGGGATCATCACAGGGCTGGTGACAGCCTGCAGCAGACACTCCACGTGAGGCAGCCGTGTCCTGCCCCATCCCAGCACAAGGGTCTGCATTGCCCACGGCCAGCGCCAGAGGGGCGGTGGCAATGGGGCTGTGGGGGGAAGCTGGCCCAGCAGACAGGAGTCGGGCTTTGCCCAGGACTGGGAAGCCCTGTGAGGTGGGGGTGGCAGCAGCCCCCTGCTCTCCTGCACAAGGTTCCTCTCCGGTCCAGCCTCACCTCGTGTCTGTGCCTGGCAGACATCTCACTCTCCCTTTCCAGCACACAGAGCGATTTGGGAATGCTGCCAGGACATGCTGGGGCAGCTGCCATGGGGGGATTCCCACCTTACATTTCTGGGGAGTCCCACTGGCAGCCAGTGGATGGGTGAGGTAAGACACCCCGGCTCTCAGAAGGAGAAGGCCTGTCCTCGTGCCCTGCTGGCTCCTCTCCAAGCGCTGGCAGACACTGCATGGTCTCCAGGGGCACCTCCCATAGCACTGAGCGGTGTTGACTCCCTGAGTCCCCGTTGTCATCACCAGCCCTTACCTGGGTGACAGAAACAATAAAATCGTAACTATTCAGGAGCAGAGTAACAGGCATTTCCCCGTTTGCTGTCTTTTACAATGTTTATTTGGATGATGAGAGCTGCGAGACGTCTGCCTTTCTGCAGAGACACCAAAGGTCAGCTCCTTGCTGCTGGGAGGCAAATAACAACATGAATCATCCACAGCGCAGGTAACAAACCAGCAGAACCAAAGGCAAAGGCGCAGTCATGGGCAGGACCCAGCTCAGCTCCGTGTGCAGGGTCAGGGCAGGACTCGTAGCCTGCTGGAGTCTCAGCCTGACACTCATGGTGGCCAGGTCTTCTGCTGGTGGGACAATATTGTCTCCAGGAAGACACTCAGGAACATCAATCTCTTTATCCCAGAAGAAAAGGAAGATGATGAGGTGAGATGAGATGAGATGAGATGGGATGAGATGAGATGAACCCTTTGGGGAGACTTCGACCATGCTTCTGACTTTGGATGCTTAATTTGCCTTCTGTCTCCAAGACTATCAGATAAGCCCAAACGATACACCCTCAGGAGAGCCAGCTGGGTGCTGCAGAGCATTGCATGCCCTCACAGTGGCAGACCTGGCAGGGACCTGCCTGGCTGCTGGCGACCATAGTCAGACCCAGCATTGCAGGAAGCACCCTGTCACCAGGTGCCTGCAGCCGTGCACTAACAGTCTGGCACTTGGGGAGCTCTTCCACGGCCAGGCTGGCCCTCCATGGCCCCATGTGCCAGCCAATGGGATGGAGGCCATACTGGTAACAGGCATAGCAGTGTAAGGAGGCAGATAGACATGTCTGAGGTTTCTGTGGTGTGTAGACTGATCCCCGCGGGTCTCTATGGGAGCAGAGCTCTTCTGGAAACCTCACATAGTGCCTGTCTGCATGCTGGGGGCCAGTCCTGTGGGAGGCCAGACCTTCTTTGGTGCTGTAGAGGTTAACAATGATGCCCAGCATCATTGAACAAGCCTCAGGGTGCCAGTCCTGCAGGCAGAAGCATGGAGGACTCCACAGATGGCCCTCCACCCCTGATGCACACCTGCCAAGCTCCGAAAAGCAGCCAGGCTCCTACACCCAGGAGTGCAGGAGCAGGGCAGCAAGCCCCAAGGCAATGGTGAGGATGATGAAGGTGACAGCTGCAGCCCACAGGGAAGGAATGTGCCCCTTCACCCACACTGGAGCCTCCACCGGGATCATGTTGGTGAGGTTCAGCATGTAACCCAGCGTCCAGCCGACATCGGCGCTCCCCGCCTGCCCGAGTTGAGAGGGGACCATGAGTTAGACCTGCAGGAAAGCCACACCGACGACACAGGACACCCCAAACGGGGTGCAGCAGCTGGCCCCACACCCAGTGCCACGCTGGGATGTGGGGCAGGCAGGGCTTTCTGGACCGTGGCTCTCACGGCACCCTGATGGGGGAAGATGGCTCTTCTTCCCAGCAGTGCCTCTGCAAGCTGCGTTTGCTGCCTACCTTCATCTGGAAGAAGATGTTGTTCCAGCTGGTCTCGTTGAACTTGTAGGCGTCGAGGAGGAGTGTGAGGATGTAGTTGGCGTTGGCGCAGTATTTAGGCAGTCGCTCAGGATTCTCTTCAGTGTAGCTAGAAGACAGCTGGGGTGGGGACATATTTGGGAAGTTATTTGCAGGCGATTTCCATGCAGGGACAATGCCCTGACGACTGCTGCACAAGGGGCAATGGCTCGTGCCTGCAGTCACCAGCCCCCAGAAAAAGATTTCTGGCAGGTATTTTGGACCTGCCTATGCAGGGCAACTCCTTTGAGGAGGATTTACACACTACGTGGAAACAGAGGGACATATTGGAGCTCCTCCCGCCCCAGATTCTCGCATCTCAGCCTCCTCGTGGAAGGTGCTCCTGCTCTCTGTCCATGGTGGTCCTAGCACATCTCTTGGCCTTCTCCATGCCCATTTGACTCGTCTCCAGAGTGGTGCCAGCAGCTGGCTCTGCTCTCAACATCCTCCAGTGCTACAGACCCACCTCGATCCCCATCTCCGGTGTTGAAGGGGAGATTTTTCTGCCTTCACCTGCCCTGGCTGCCCCTTTCCCAGTGTTGCATGAGCAAGGAGGACTCCCAAGGGTGGGTGCGGGACGGTCCTGGCTCCCCCACAGAGCTCAGGGATGGCTCCGCCGTGTAGGACACAGCTCAGCAACCAGGGAGCTTTCCCCCTGAGGGGTCCCTGCTCCTCTTCCCCCACCCCAGGACCCCTTTGCTTGTGAAGCTTCCCCACAACCTCCCATCATGGGGAACGTACGTCTTCCCAGCTTCTTGTGCAGAAATGTTCGATGGTCTCCCTGACAGTCGCCAGTGACTGCCCCTCGGTCAGGTTGAGAAACTTGAAGTTATAGTAAAAGGCAGAGAAGGCCTGAAAGGCAAGAGGCAGAAATGCCGTTGAGCTACAGTGGGGAAACCCCCAGGCAGCTGCTCCCACCTCCCTTGAAGCAGGAGGTGGGGTTTGTCCCACCCTCGTATAGTCCCAGGGCCACTTTGTCCATGCCCCAGCCGAGATGATGGGCTGGGGATGTGGGTGCCTGTTGGCTACAGCAGCACGTCGAGCGCAGGCAGAGCCTTGCCTGCAGGCTGCTGGCTAAGCTGGCGTCTTTTACTGAAAACATTTTTTTTTCACTAAACACCAGTTTTATTAACATGGGCCCATTTGGAGAGCTGGCTGGAAAACCAGATGGCAGCAACCCCTGGCGTGCCCCGGGGCAGGGGTAATTTGGGAGCCTCTTGCCCCTGTTCTGCTGTGGGGAGGTGACAGTGCCACGGGGCGCGCAGGGACACCTCACACCCGGGGGCATGTGGAGGTGCGAGGACGAGATTTGCCTTACAATGAACTGCCCTCTGACCGGGGGCTGGTAGACGCCGTCGAAGGTGCAGTCCTGGCTCTGGCCGCACGCCGAGAAGTTGAACAGCTTCTTGATGGCAGCCAGGCACCCGCCGGCATTGCCCCTGCCCTCCAGGGTCACGTCCCTGTCGCCGAGGTGCGCTGCCGTTCGTGCAGGGGCTGGTGCGGAAGGAAGACAGCGAGACGGTTTCATTGTAGTCTTTTGGGTAGCAAGGGTGATCGACTCGCGTGCTGGAGGGTGACTCCTGGGAATAGCAAAATCGCAGGCTACAGCCTCCTCCAAACCCTCTTGGCAGGCCCGCCGGGCAGCAGGATTCACCCAGCGTACCCCCCAAAGCCGCATGCACAGGCATCTCCCACCTCCTCAGCAGGGAAAGACCCTCCTGCTGTTTAATCTTGGTCTTGTTGGCTGTCTGCAGCCCCAGCCTGAGCTCAACACTCATTCCCGTGCTGCTCTGTCTCATTCCCTCTCCCGTGGAGGCAGACCAGTTTCAGGGACCCAGCACATCTCTCTCCTGGCCAGCAGGATCATGATCTGGGGCATGGAAAGCCCTCTCCAGCCCAGCTCTAGCTCTGTCTGTAGCTCCAGCCCCAGCCAGGGACACCGCCTGGGACCTTCCTGGCTGTGCAGCATGAACAAGCCCTTCTGGCTCACCAAGGCTGCTTCTCCTGGCAAGGTGCAGCTCCATGAAGACCCTCTTCTCCTCTGACCTTCAAAAAAATGGCCTGAGAAACATCTCTGGTTCACTTCTCTCAGGTCTGCAGTCACAGAGAAGTTTAGGTTCGGGGGACCTATAGAGTCCCTGTGCCAAACCCGCTCCTTAAAGCATGACCAGGTTGCTTTAACCTGACTAGATCAGGTTGCTCAGAGCCTTGTCCCGTCAAATTCTGAATTTCTCCAAGGATGGCGACTCCACAGCATTTCTGGGCCCTATTCCAATTTTTGACTATTCTTATTGGGAAATACTTTTCCCTTGCATCTGGTTGGAAATTCACATGTTCCAGTTTGTGCTTGTTGCCTCTTGTCCTGTCACTTTGCACCTCTGAGAAGAGCCTGGTCCTGCCTTTTCTACATTCTGTGCGAGGCAGCTGCAGAAGAGCTCTCCTGAGCCACCTCTTCTGACACTTCCCATGCTCCTCTCCACATCTGCCTACCCATGCTCCAAGGAGTCTGTACCTGCTCTCAGTCCCTGATGATGCCTCTCCGGAAGAGCATTCCCTGTTCTTATTTTATGTAGTAACAAGTCTGTGGTTGGTATCATGAGACCAGAGTCCAATTACCCCCCAGTTCCCCTCTTACCGCAATTAATTCCTTTGCCAGTCGCTTCAGCATCTCATTCTGCCCGTAGCAGAGATAGCTGTGTGTGTAGATGTTGTAGTTATACCCGTACAGCATGAACTTGGAGGTTTTATTCCAGTTTATCACTGGACCTTCGGGCATAAAGCTGATTTGAGTGGATGCTCCTCCAAGATCCAGTGCCCCAAAAATGTTGGCCGCCTCTGGATGAACCCACGTGTGTGCTTTCGGGGAGTACTGCCAAGGCAAGACAGGAGAGGTAGAGGAGTAGTACATGGCTGGGCTTACTTGCCCTGTGAAAAATTCTCATCCCATTGAAGTCAGTAGGGTTTTGTTACTGAATTCAACAGGTATTCAATTATTTCTGTACGTGAGGCCCCACTGCCTTCCCTGCCCAACCAGCCCGGCCATTTATCAGAGCCAGAAAAAACAGAGGTTGAACTGTCTGACAGCCAAGACGTGTCAACGTGCTGTGGGCTCACGTGTCTGAGTCACCGGTCCCCAGACCAAAGTGCTGGTGGGGACCTGGCTTGGACATGCTGCCCTCCCTGAAGAGCAGGCTGCAGGGGGGCTGGTGCAAGGAGAAGGACAGAAATCCTCCAACAGCCTGCACAGGAGCCCGGCGGTGCCAGCACCACTCTGAGCTGTGGTGGTGCTGGGATAGAGGGTGGCAGGAAAGAGGTTTAGTTCAAGCTTCCTTCAGACTGGCACGTTGAACGAAAACTGGAGTCTCCCAGTGCCACACAGAGATGGACCTTCCCAGGGCAGCGAGACAAAGCCCAGCAGGAGCAAACGGTCCCCACTGGGCTGCACGGCTGACTGCGCTGTCCCCAGGAGACCCTGTGTCCACATGGTGCAGAGATGTGCCCTTAGCTCTTAACAGAGACACCCTCACTCCTGATTTCTCCCTCCTCTTTCACTGCGGGCAAGCCAGAGGATGGCTGGCTGCTTCCCCTAGGTCACTCCTGGAAGCGGTTAACCATGACCTTGTGCTAAGCAAGCTTAAGAAAAACCAGAAAAACTGTATTAGCAAGGAAGGAGTGGGTGTTTCACCCTTCTCCCACCTTAGTGAAGGAGTCCAGCAGATAGTTGATGGTGATCCAGCCATAAGCCCCCTCCTCCTCTCCTGTAAGGATCCGAGCCCCTTTGAAAGCTGTGGGGTACTCTCGCATGGTTTTAGCAACTTCGGCCAGGACTTGATCTGCCGTTGAGCTGTTCTGTTCCCTAAGAAGGACTCAAAGGTCAGGACACATACCCAGCTACAGTAATACTACAGAGGAAACACAAGGAAACAGTCTGTTTTTTTCCCAGTTCCACATACTCCACTTTTTTGCAACAAGCAGTTTGTGTGAAATGATGTTTCCTGCTACATAACTTGTCAGAGCTGCTCGTACAGCATAAATCCCAGCTGTCTAGACTTGGCATCACAGATCTAGGAGCAACAGCAATCTCTTCCCTCCAGTGCAGCTTGATTCCAGTCACGTAAAGGTTTGCCAGCCCACCCTTCCCTACCTAAGTATCTTCATAGTGCTGGAGGCCAGAGGGGGTTGTGCTGCAAAACCCAGCTTTGAACATCACCCACTGACTGCCCCAAAGCCGGGCTGGCGGCTGAGCTTGAGTGGGTCTTTTGGGAAGGTGCCAGCCTGGTTTCAGACCTCTGAGTGGGGGAAGCTGTCGTGGGGCTGCTGGCATGTGCTCGCTATCTGAAGTGAGTAACCCTCAGGCTGTGACCCGGCTCCTTCCCAGGGAAGGGGTCTGATTGCCAGGGCACAGAAATAACGTTAGATATCTGCAACCGTAAAACCAAGAACCATGAAATGAAGTTGACATTTTAAGAGAGCTAATATGGGCTGGTGAAAGGTAAGGGCAGGTCCCGCAGCAGCCCGTCACCTCCTACCTCTGCCCCACTCCCTCGCCAGCACCCATGCATCTGGGCAGATGGCACATTCTCTGGTGGTATCTCAGCTCCCTTGTGTTTAAGGGATAATGAAGAGCAAACAAGGAGCTCTGAGAAGCAGTTCTGGCTTGGAACGAGGCATGCAGCACCTCCTGGGATGTGGGGTCCCAGGATGCCAACAGACACCTTTAAGCAGCCTCTCTGCCACAGAGCAAATCGCTCAGGACAGCGCAGCCACCCGCGTGTCCCCACCAGGCTGCCTTCTCCCCACTGCTCAGCCACTTGCTCACGGCAGCACGTGATCTGGGAGCTCCTGGCAGCCTGGCCCCGTGCAGGACACTCTGTCCTGGCAGCAGCTGCTTGCAGCTCAGCTGCTGCCCCATCACCCCCGTGACCCACAGCGATACCTCAGTAGCCTCATGCCTGCTGTTGCTCCGAGATAAGCTGGGACATCCCTCTGTTTTGCAGCAGGAACAACCTTCAGGGCTTTATCCAGGCAATCCCTTAGAGAATCACCGGCTTTCGAGGGATCATTGGCATAGCTCGATATGCCTTGACCTGGAAGAGAGTCAGGCTGGGGAGGGAACGGGTTGACAGGAACAGCTGGGGACAGGGATGTAGGAGCAAGAGGGCACAAGGCAGTGAGGTCTGTCACCTCTTAGCAGCAAAGGGTACTTTTCCAGGGTCCCCTGGTGCCCCCAAGACCTGACCCACGCTTATGTTCCTCTTCTATGGCTTCCCCACCTCACCCATGCTTCCAGGGCTGCCCCACATCACCCATGCTTCCAGCAGTGTCTCCGGCTCTATGGATGAGTCATTCCCCTGCCAGGACAGTGGCTTTGGCAGCCGGAGGCAGTCCAAGGTGGAGGAGTGAAAATCCACAGCAGCATCAAGGTGCTTCAGTCCCACCAAGTGTGTGGGCACTACATGGTGCTGATGGCTCTCCAGCCATGGACTGAGGCCAGTGGGGAGTCAGGGACCATGCTGCCTGCAGCCAGGGCTCCCCACCATGCCAGCAGGGACAGCCTGATGGACAGAGCTGCCCAGCGTGGGCAGGCCAACAAGAGGGAGGCCAGGTCGTCCCACCCACAACACGCAGGGCAGCACTGAGTCTGTGGCAGGGGAATACTGACCCTGGACATCACAGGACAAGGTCTGGCTGACCACACCAGTGTCGTTCTCCTTGTCTGAATCCCACTCATAGACAAACAGAGAGGTGTGGGATGAGCCTGCATCAAACACCATCCCATACTGGAAGGAAAAAACAAGACATCATCATGCTGGCGGGAGAAGCAGCAGCCCACCCCAGCCCCACCAGGACACTGCCAGGGTGGTCGCACCAAAGGATGCCCCAAAAACACCTCTCTAAGGCACAGCTATCTGCACCGTGGCAGAGCAGAGTGGTGACAGTGTGTGGCCTCAGCATGGGCATTTCTTGGCAACTGAGGGACTTTTTCATTGCCTCTCCCGAGGTCTGTGCAGCAATGCCAGCTCACACAAACATTTTCTTGGTTGTTTCCTCATGCTTTTTTATTTTTGTTCTTGGTTACATACCTTCTGTGTCTACACTGGCCCCACCTTGGGGCCAGCAACTCCCCCATCTCCAGTGCTCTCTGCTACCCTCATGGCTGCACCCAGCCTGGGCAGGGACTGGCAGAGCCACACCAGCCCCAGTCCATGAGCTTCTCCCCGATAAGTGCCCTGAGAGCGCCAAGGGAGCAGGGCAGGGCTTTGCCCTACTTTGCCCCAAGGTAATCTCCTTGAAACATGTCAAGCGCATAGCATGGTGGCTAGTTTCAGAGGAGGCTTCCCTCCCTGACTTCGAGGGGGCCAGGCTGTATTTATTCTGCTTGCATTTTAGATGGGAAGAAAACACCCACCCAGGGGTGGGTCCTACTGACCACCCTTCACCTCCTAAACCTGAAGATAAGCCATTGTCTCTGAGCACCTGCCCAAGGTGACTGGTCTCTGCAGTGGTGCTCGGGGACCCTCTTTTGGGCTTACCTTGACTGTGGGTGGCAGGGAGACATCTTCAATCTTCACCAGGCTGAGAACAAGGGCAATGATGGAGAGCGCGATCAGCACCCCAACGATGGCAGTGGTGAAGTGCTTCTTGTAAGCGAACATCATGGTGAAGGCTCCTGCAAACCCAAACACAGGAGAAAGGTGGTTTGACATGGCCAGCTGTGAACAACGCTAGTCAGCGAGAGCTGCAAGGAGATCAGCTCTGAAAGCTGTCCTCAGGCTGACACTGTCTCAAGCTGTGTAACTTGGAAATCCTGGTGGATAATCTGGATAATCAGATCTTTCCCTGGGAAAAGCAATATTAGGATAAAACAGAGGAGGGTGGAGGAAAGAGGAGTCGGTTGCCCAGCGGTCTGGCACAGTCATGATGGGATCGCAAGAGTCCTCCAGGTCCTGCACCCACTCCTGCTCAGCTCACCACTGCTGGGAAGGATCAGGTACAGGAGGAGCAAAAGAAACACTGCACCAAACAGGAGAGCATGGGAAATTGCAAAAAAACCCCAAAGTGAGATACTGTAGAAGGGGAAGGTGATTTTATTTTACAAGATGTGAACAAGGCCAGCTTTGCCTGCTGGCACTCCCAGACCCATGCACCCAGCAGCACCCAGACATGTGCGCCCAGGTGGGATCGCTCGGACCTGGCTTGTGAGTCCTTGCTGTGGCTCTGGGCTCCGCTGCCAGCAGTAAACCCAGCTTGGACTTGCCTTTTATATCCTTTGGAAGCAGATACCGCTTGAAAATCTTCCCCCCATTATTTCATCTCAGACCTCCTCAGCCTTAGGCAAAACTCGCTGGAAGGGGGTGAATGAGTGTCCTCTTCCTTCCCAGGTCTGGAAATCCCCCACTGACCGCACAGCGGCTGGGGTAGGGCTGCCCTGAGCAAGGGGGTCTCGTCCCCATGCAGGACAGAGAGGCACTGACTGGCCCCGGTCCCTCCTGGACCTGCAGCACCGCATGGCAGCTCTGTGCACCCAGAGCCGACCAAAGCCTCTGGCTCCTGCCTCCAAACCCGACCTGAGCAACTCTTTGGTTTCATTTTCCTGATCATTCTGTAGTAAATAAATAGTTCCAGAGGTTATGTGATAATATCTTAATTGTCTCTCACGCCAGAAGGACAGGTAATGATTTCCCAGCTGGGAGGGAGCTGTTGTTCCCTTGACTTGCAGTGACTCCATCCACTCACCCCAGGCACAGGGTCTCCCTGAGCTGCTCTTTCTGTCCCCGTTCCCAGGACTTTGGGTCTCAGTGCCAGGCTCAGCCCTTTCGCAAACCTGCTTGTCCCAGTAGGCAGCTGGGGTGCAGCTGGGCCACACGCCAAAGGCAGAGCTTTGCAATGCTTCCAGGGCCACCACCGCAGCTCCTGAGAGCTGGGCCCCTCCTGAAGGTGGTGAGAGGGACAACGCACTCAGGCAGGTGCGGATGTGTGCCATCACAGGGACACATGGCCCCATGCTCCCACCCATGGTCTGTGGCCGCACCGTGGGGCTCTGGTCCCTTGAGGAGCTGTGTTCACTCCAAGGGAGCCTTGGAGCAGCCCCGGATCTCTGGAGCTGCAGGAACCCTCAGCTACCCATCTTCCATGGACCTTGTCCCAGCAAGGATGGCAGGACCAGCCTCAGACCCACCCCTGCGATGGGCACAGCCCCAGAGGATTGAAGATCGGGGCCGAGCTGGTGAGAGCACCCTGTGGACACCAATGAGCAGAGCATGGGCAGCCGCTCCCAGCAGTGCTTCGCTTGCTGTGAAAGCAGTGTTTGTCGTGCACCGGTTCCTTTTAATGTGGACAGGTGTGTCCGTTCCCTGCACAGCAGCCGTACACCTTGCAGCCATGAGTGGGGCCAGGAGACATCCCCCATCCACCAGAGCCCTTCAGCCAACTCCTGGGGTCCCGAGCGTCCACCTTCCCCTTGGGAGGAACTGTGGATGTGCAAAAGCACGAGAAGCAGTTCACCAGCACTTTCCTTGAGCAAAGAGCTCTATTATTTAGAAATAGTTCAGTTAAAAAAAATCTGATAAAAGGTAATACTTCTTCAGTTTACACTAGGTATACCTGAACCAAGTCACAGGTAATGGCTTAGTAATTTTGCTGACAAAATCCTCCCTGCAAAAATTGTAGGGCAACAGAAAGCCAGGGCGGGGAGGCGGCACAGCGAGCTGGGGGGAGGCAGAGTCCGTGGGCCCCCCCGGGACCAGGCGAAAGGCTCGCTGGAGACCTTCTTCCCAAACCTGCATCACGTTCTCAGTGCATGGCATCGCACACAGCCCCTATTGCACCCACGGTTGCTCCCTTCATGGGCTCCCACAGAGGCCCCTTGATTAGCTAATTAGATAATTACCTTAGCTTTTTCGTCTTCGTGCTGAACGGGCTGAGCACCGGCCGCTTCTCCTCCCACCTTCGCACTGCAGGAGGGAGCAGGCTGTTGCCGCTCTTGCCTGCGCCTGCCCCACGTGCAGCGCCCTGCACCCTCTCCCAGGCCACGCTGCCCCGGCTGGGCTCTGGCAGGGTGACAACACCCCGTCTCCGTGCCACATACTGTCCATCCCTCAATTTTCTGTGGGTAATCCCAGCCAAAGGGGTGTCTGCTACAACGCAGGCCGGGTCTCAGGACGACGTGGTGCCCAAGCGTGGAGCGTGGCAGGACCTGGAGGGGCCATGGGGTGCCCTGCTCTCACGCGGCTCCCCTCGGGTCCGCGGTGCTGGCAACCCCAGCCCTGTTTGCCTGCAGGCACGAGCTCTGGTGAGAGCTAAATGTGCTATTTGCTCATAACTGAAAAAGTGACCTAAATGTCTCATTCTTCTGACTGCAGGTGGACAAATCTGCTAGGGAGAAGCACGGCTGGAGCACACCCCCCCCATTTGATCTGCTTTTGATGTGTGTTTCTTTGTCTGCAGCCCTCGAAATGACTCTTTGAGTCCCAGGAGGAAGCTGCCAGGCTGGTGCGGAGACTCGGCGGGGTTTGAGCCCAGCTATTACTGCCAGCCACTGAGACGACTGGTGTTTGTGAAATGAGCTCACCTCCACTGCTAACATCTTCCCTGTGCCCTCCGAAAGGAAAACACCCTGACTCAGGGTCAAAACAGAGTCTCTCATTTCCCTGCCGTTTAATTTCCGCAGCCACGAGGTCACCCCGGCGCTGGCCATGGGAGGTGCAGGCAGCGGCGCTGCGCAGGTCCCATGTCTCTGGGTGAGCTGCACCGCACGCTCCTGCCTCCCGTTCCCCTTCCAGACCCACACTGTGTCTTGCCGTGACTTGTCCCAGCAGGGACTAGCTCCAGCCCTCCCTTCCAGTCCAATTCCAGCGAGACCAGTGGAACTGGGGCCATTTCAAGCTGCCTTTGGGATGCCCACACCTGCTGCTCCCAGCCGGCAAACAGCACACCAGACCTTTCCTCCTCCCTACTGTCTTTCCCAGTGCGTATCGTTATTTAACATGCCCAGTTGCCCTGACTGTGACTGTCTTGGTGCCACCTCTCAGCTGTGGGTGCTCTGGGTCAGCGACGAGTGCCTGGGGCCAGCCTCTATGCCAGCCACAAACACCCCGGGCCATTCCCCTTCCCTGTGCGCGGCTACAACATGGCGGGTGTTGGCCCTGGGGCAGCTCCATCCCTGTCGGCACTTGGATGGGGCTTAGCGCAACACCCGCATGCTCACAAGAGCCACGAGATTAATGATATCAATAAAAATACCAGTATTGCGATACGGGCGGTGGAGCTGGCTGAGCCCCGCGGGGCAGGGTGCCTGGGGGACGGCGTGCTGCCCGGTGCTGCGGGGATGGGCTCCGTGTAAGCTGGGGTGGAGGGACGTGGCAGAGGGATGCTGCAGGAGGCTGAGGCTGTTAGTTACTCGCTCACCAGCTGCGTTGCCTGGGGGTGAGAGCACCAAGGTGGAAGGCGAGGTCGGGGTGTCTCGGATCTGTCTCACAAGAGCCCCAGGCGTGGGCTCTCCTCTGGCATCCTGAAAGTTTTTCTTCCTGAGATCAGGGAGCACAGGGAAATGAGGATGAAGCACCCTTAGGGCAGGATTTTCCCTTTCACTAGTGTCACAGTGGGAGCTTGGGGAGAGCATGGGAAGGAGACTGAGGCGAGCAGCTCTGGAGATGCTTGATTGCCTCCAGTGCAATCAACAGGGCCATAAGGAAACAAGGCAGCAGGGGAAAGGGTGAGGTGGTGGAGGTGTCCCTCAGCAAATGCTGGAGGGTATCTGCAGGAGGCCAGGAAACCCTTTGGCTATGGGAGGTCTCCCTTGAGCTGCGAAACCGGTTTGGACAAGGGCAGCTAGCACCATGATGGAGCCAGCTCCCCCGGCCACGGTGGTGGGTGAGCTGTGGACAGCCAGACACCCCGTATCCCCTTGCCCCCTGCAAAGTCATCTCATGTCACTGAGCTGTGGCACTCTGCAATGCCTCCCTCTCCTCAAAGTCTCAGCAAAGCTTCTGAGAAGCTGCTCCAGGGAGGTCACCGTTGCTGCAGCCTCCCTTCCTTCAGCCTTTCCTCCTCCTTGTGCCCCTGCCATCCCGGCTGCTCCCCTCTGGGCTTGCAGCACTTGCTCCACACTTCTCATCACATCTTTCCAAGAGCGGTGACTCAAAATGGACCCGTGCTTTCAACCGCAGCCTTGCCAACTCTCTAAATTATTCTGTAAAAGGTATAGATGAAGTCCTGGGAACACCAGCCCTGAAAATGGGGGCTGCAGCAGCTCAGCGCACTCAAGTCAGGACAGACACTTGTGTGCTCGTAAGGCGACATTTGCTTTTGTACACAATGGCCATTAGCCAGGGACACCCCGAAGCCACCTCTGTATCCCACCTACCCAGCAGCTGGCCAGGCTGCGCTGTGACCCTAAGCACGATACCTTGCGCTTGCTCGCTCTCGTCTCCAGAGTGGCTGTCACCCGTAAGAGAAGGGTGGGTTCTCTACCTTCTACTGCAGACTTGGGTAGCGTGGCTTCTTGACAAATCTAGATGAAACATTGCTTATCTCTTAATTCTCTAGGTGTTCTCCAATAACTTTTTGACTGCTTGTCCCAATGTGCCCAGCAGTTAGAAGCTGAGCTGAGGGCTGCAGTTTACCATTGCCTACATGGGGGTTAGACATCTCCAGCACA